CCAACCAACCAACAACAAAGTGGTCAATGATATTGAATCCAAGATCCCAATATAGTTTTCCCCTTAGGGTCATAACGGTTGAGGCATTAATTCTTTCCCATATGACAACTTGTCAACATTCCATGGGTTCACAGTGGTGATTCATGGAACACTTATTTGTTAACCATTATTACTAAAAGGCAGACACAAAAATATGAAAGAGTATAGAATAACCGGCAACATAAATTCATGTACCTAACACCTCGTCAATTGCAATTTCAAGACTGCGTGATCCCAATTCATCTTCTGTTATGACCTTTGATCCGGCTACATCGGCCATTATATATGCATTGTTTGTTTGATGATCATCTGCAACATTAGGTGATGGAATCTGCAAAAGCAAGAATAACTAGATAAAGCGATGTAGCATTAGGTCAAACAAATAAGCATGAGGGGTTGCATTGTCAAACATTACCCATATTCTAAGGAATAGTCCTGTATCGTTACTGTTGTAAAATTTCACATCTATTCTTGTGAGCACAGCTGTTATGCTTTCAGAATACTAGTTTAGTTTCCAACAACTCACCTTACTAGTTAGGATCTTCACAGAAGTGTATAAGGATATGATTAGCGGTTTATCTACGCTCTAGTATAGTTGATATGTGGAACTTTTCTAAACAGAAACCAACTCATCTTCAGCTTGGAGTAAAAACTTTTGAGTCCTGAGGACAGAATATTCAAAGCAATCAAACTTTACAAGGATAGGACACTGGGATATCAGAATAATTTTACTGGTCCAGAAGATGTGCAACAAAGGAGCAAGCCAATATCAAGTGATACCCCTGAAATTGCAGAAATCCTTCCTGATCAAATGTTGACCTCCAATAAATTGTATTGCCCCCATGGATTTCACAAGGAACTGTTTTTTTTCCCTTTTTTCCCCCCTTTTCCCTTCTTGTTTTAAAAGTATGGGATGAGAATAGATTGGTCAAGTCATGATAATTTACATATGTTATCATTTGACTAATTTCCATCAAAAAATGGTTTATAAGAATATGCTGTAACTAGTATACTTTTAGATTTTTATTTGCCATTATCTTTTACCCACAGAATTCCGATTCACGTCTTATATCGCATCTCAATAAACTATCAAAACAAGGAACAATGAAGCAACAAACTTGACAGCTTTAGAAGTTCTTAAATGCTCACAATTCCAAAGTCTCTGAAATGAAGTTTCAATTATAAGCATTTCTTATGAGTAACTCCACTATGAATTATTCACGCAAGGACTTTATTACCGCAAAGAACATTGGGTTTTAAACAGAGTTCTAGTTGGAAAAGACTAAGGAACATATTCACTGAATATACAATGCCAGTAATTTTGAGTTTTGAAATGAATCCATTAGGAGTGGGAACCAAAAAAAATAACTGAGGCAAAGATTTGCCTCAGTGTATAAATATTATAAAACCAGCGGTTGACCGGGGAGATTTATGTCTCTGGCCACAGAGTTCAAGATCAAGCATTCATTAAACACCCTCAAAGACTATGTACCAAAGAAGGTCAGAATAAACTAAAATAGAGAAGGTTACACAGTGCAATATGGAATACAATCCGTTTTCAAACAAACTATACTCACAGGAGATATGAAAATTTTCAATGGCCTTTTAAACAATAATTGATTCAGTTGGCAGAGACTTTTTTCCACAGAAACTGTGTATAATAGTAGAATTTTAATGATTTTTCATATTATGCGGAAAAAGAATGTACCAAAATGGAGGGCTTCCCAGTGGTCAATATCTCTGTACATGTCATTGCTCCAGCTCGTGAAACAACAACATCAGCTGCTGCATAAGCCAAATCCATTGCGTGCAAGAACCTTCAAAGTTTAAGAGTAAATTAAGTTATTTTTCATACTTAAAGAAGTCAGGTACAATTTAAGATGAGAATAAGTGCACTTTCAAAGTCGGTAGATGCATATACAAGTGTTTCAAGAATAACTCTGAAGAAGATTTGTATATGCATCTACATGAGCATTGAGCACATACAGTTGAGTTTGATTTCAAACAAACAAAGATGGGTTGCTAAATTCTGCCATATGTTCTTCCTACTAATATCACAAGACCCCCCTTCCTCTGAATCCACCATATATTTCCAAAGTGCAACTTTGGATATTTCTATCATGGTCCTTGCTAAATGTATGGCTATGGTAGCATGAAAAAACTTCGAAGTCTCAGCCACATCGCATATCCAGCATGATACTTTTTACAAACTTCTAAGATCCTTGTTCAGATTTCTTTAACCTGTCCACAGTTTCAGAATATAGTTTTACTTCCAGATGCTTTTAGGCATATCTTGGCACATCCTTGACAATTGTCAGATTGTTCTTTCATGTGCGTTGAACATATCAGAAAACTAGTTTCATTTATTTTCATGTTAAATTCTAATGTTTCATGCTCAATCTAATTACAACATAACAAATTTGCAATGTGTTTGCCATAGGATGCAGAATTGCAGATAGACTAAAATGTTTATAAATAAAGCTTATATGGTTATAAAAGAATAGAAGACATCAACATTTATTTTATGTGTGTGTGTATGTGTGTTAAATTATGAAAAATTAGTATCTCTTTGTCTGGTAAATGTATAACATGCAATCTAAGTGTTTTCTGGCCACACAATGACCTAGGTTTTTAGGAACTATTGTATCAGCATGTTGTTCTCCATTTTCATGCGGGTACAACAACAAAGCCTTTATCCTTAGATATTTGGAGTCAGGTACATTAATCCTCTTCTTCAAGTTTAGTTATGAATCTTATGATTAGGACTATCTCCTCCATTAAGTTAACCATTACCATAACCTCTTACTTCCAAGCAAGTTCTCTTGTGTCTACTTCTAGACTTTACTCCATTAACTATAATCATATAACTTTTCCCAATTGGTGCATTACGCAGCCTCCGTTGCACATGGTCAAACCATGTCAGATAATTTTCTCTCATTTTATTGTTAATAGATAATGAGCAACCTCTAACGTCCTATGGATGCACTCATTTACTATCCTATCTCTTAGTGTATATCTACAAGTCCAGCATAACGCTCTTCTTTCTACCACACTCATTGTTGTCAAACACCCTGATCCATAAAGCATTGTTGTCCTTAAAACCAACCTTTAGAAATTACCCTTCAACTCCATACGTAATCTACAATCAAATAAGACTTTAAAAGTGCTCCTCCATTTTAACCATCCTGATTTGATTCAATGAACCACAACATCCTCAAGCTCACCATCTTTTAGAAATCCTTTGTTGTAGTTATAAAATCAGATCTGCTTTATCTTATGGTATGTGTCCTATGACCATATAGATGTGGATGCTACATTGATAAAAAGGTCTGTTACATACATTATCACCTCTTTTTAATCCACTTTCTTCTTAAGGTTTATCTACTTTGGTCATTTTTGAGGATAAAATAATGCTTTTTTGGCAAGTCCATAAATTTATTATTACCAAATAGCAATAGGGCAAAACTTGATGTACACATAAAGAATGGCCTCTCACAAACCGAGAGCCATACAAACAAAACTCAATCAGGATGTAGTATTGTTGTCTCAAACAAATATACCAGCTAATATACGTATCTATACAGTTCATCCGAGAAAAGTTTATATTTGTTGGGAACTTTTGGTACAGTTTCAAGGACAGACTGAGACCTCACAAGGAGGGCCTCCAAAGTAATAGAATGGATCAATGTCAATATCGCAAGGAATGCTGCCAATTTTTTGAGTCAATAAAGCAATGGTACTGGAGCATAATACTATTACTAAGAAATATACCCTTCCTCTATGGAAGAACAACAAATAAGATCCCATAGAGCATATCAAGCAACATAGGGCAGATGGGAATACTCTATGCACTCTTCTAGATCTCAATTATGGCCAAAAGCTCTCACAGTTTCCATCCTACTAGTGATCAATCAACAAGCAAACCATGTAAAATCACTAATAACATCTAAGACATATATATCTTAGCCCATATCTGATGCATAAGAAACAAAAAACCTACCGATATAATTGTTTGCTTTTAAGGCAGACTGAATATCGTAAATGAAGCTTTAAAATGTTGTTTTTATCTTATATAACAGCTGAACAGTTCATCAATCATTGAGATTACCCAACTCTTTCACTGAAATAAGTTCACAAATGCAAATATGACAGCAGAGCAAAAGTTCTTACGGGGTTAGCAGCAATCTGCGGTTATTCTTAACAAGACTCTCCATTTCGCTGTATCCCTCTGCCCCCGTTTGCCATATAATAAACCTGTTCTTGTGCTCTTGTAACATATTGTAATACATATTAAGAACTGCTATATTAATGGCTGCAGCACCTGCAGATCCTCCCAACACAAGTAGAACTTGAGTCTTATCATCTCCAACCATTGATCCAGCCTTTGGGAAGAAATGAGTCCTTGCCACCACCTTTGAAACATATCGCCTCATAGACAACCGAACAGGGTTCCCGTACACTGAACACTTCTCTTTGGAAAAATGCTTCACACATGCATTAAAGGCTAGGAAGATCTTAGCTGCATATGGTGCAATCATTCGGTTTGTGACGCCTGGAAATGCATTCTGTTCCTGGAGAGAGAAAAAAGAAAACGAAAATTATTGATAAAATTTAGGATTCAGGTAGATAAAAAAAATGATGGGAACTTTTAGATCTAGACAAAGAGAAAGTTATAACAAAACATCTTGGAAGAAAGTTATAATTAAACACTTTGGAAGTAGTAGGAAGTTGTAACATCAGCTACTACTATCGTACAAATAGATATAGGCAAAGTATGCATGTCAAAGGAATCATTGTACTCACCATAATAACCATTCCATCATGATCGATCAGCTACAAACATGATACCAACTTTGTTTGATATTTTCCATCTAGCCAAAACCTAAGTTCCTATAAGCAGGAGCGGAACGAGCTTATGACAAAACCAAGGAGGCAGGTTAGCATGTCCAGTTACTTAGCTAACAAGTTATTTTGTTTAATCATGAAATTAAACCCTGAATTAACACTTCGGAGATTATGGCTCAAAGAAACCTTTGCTATAACAAAGAGCAATAGAATAAATCAGTCAACTCACCTACCTATTGGATTATGTTGTTCAATCTCACATTCAACCCTTGGATTAAATATTTTGAATCTTCTAATCACCATATTTGGTATAACGAATTGCAATCATCCACAGGTATTTTCTCAAAAGATAAATCATGCAGTACAAGCAATCACAATTTATTCTCAGCACCAACAAAAGTTCTACCCTGCAATGAGTTAAGTATTGATAGATCACATAACCTTTCTGCTAAACAAAGTTCCACCTGTTGAAGACTTGAAGTACATCGAGGAGAATTCATCTTTTTTTTTTAATATCACTACCAAACCTTGTTGCAAGTGTTACATAAAATACCAAGTAACTAGCGAATAAAAGAGGAAAATAACGAAGGACTTTACACATCTAGGGATGTAACAATGAAAAGGTGCTGCCCGTAAAGCTAATCATGTAAGTAAAACTAATGAGAACTCATCTTAACACTTGTAAACTCATTAAGATTTGAGCTTTTTTCGTTATAATCCAACAGATTTTAACTAATTCCATGCATGTTTCACATCCCAAGAATTAATATAATTTCTAAGAAGGCATAAACTTTTAGTTAATAACAGTTGTTCATATATAAAAGTCATGAGACGGATATTATAATAATAATAATAATAATAGCTAAATTATCAGATTGGTATTTTAACTAGACCATGTTTTCCAATATGGTATTTATTTCTACTCTGGCGATAACATGGTATTTTAACTTGTGCCCCAATGACAATAAGGCCTTTTTTCTCACCGGCGATAAGAATTCAGGTGAATTGGATTTTTTATATTTGGGAAAATTTCTTCCATCCCCCTGACCTATCAAAATTATTAAATCTACACCCTTCTCTTCAACCTCCCCCAATTCAAACTTTTTGCACCCGTTTACCCGACAAGATCCTCCCTTGAGCCCCATCTTTCTCCTTCAATTTCCTTCAATTCAAATATAAACCATAGTCCAAACCCCAATAATCATCCAATTCCATACCAATTTGGATTAGGGTTTAGGTTTGAATTGGGAGAGTTTGAACCAATTCAAATCTAAACCACAATCCAACCCCAATAATCATCCAATTCTATACCAATTTGGATTAGGGTTTAGGTTTGAATTTGAAGAGTTTGAAGGAAAAAGAAGGCGCTCAATTGATGAGAGGGAGAAAGAGTGGAGGAGGATCTTATTGGGTAAAAGGGCTAAAGAATTTTATTAAATGGGGGAGGTTGAAGGAGAATGAGAGTGTAGATTTAATAATTTAGATATGCCAAAGGGATGGAAATTTTCCAAAAAAAGATAAGAAAAAATACAGTTCATCGAAAAAGGGCCTTATTGTTATTAGAATAAATACAATATTGGAAAATATGGTCAAGTTAAAAAACTAGTCTGATAATTTAATCTAATAATAATAGGGCTTTGTTGCATTTTAGTGCCTGAAAACTTTGAAGGTTTTAACCCTAATAGTCTGAAGTTTTTATTTGACAAATTGATACCCAAAGATTTCAAATTGACATTAATTTGACAATGAGATACCCAAAACCCTAATTTTGTTTCTCACCTCACCCAACTCACCTGACTCAAAAAGCCTAAATTTCGAAAGAAAATTTGTTTCTCATTCACTCTTCTATGTTGATATTCCTGACCAAATCAAAGTTTACTTATGCTTTGTTTGGGACTCTGAGAGTTTAAAGAGAAGGGACGGAAAGTTAAATAATGGAAAGGAAATGTAGGGAATGGAAGTGAAAAGATAAAATGTTGTTTGGGAGTTTAGTATGGGGAACAAAAGTAAATTTGTTTTACTTTATTTGGGAGTTCTAATAAAGAGGAGGGAAGTGGAGTGAATATGTATAACTAGGGGTGCATTCGGTCCGGATACGGCTCGGATATGATGTTTACCATATCCATATCCGTTTACCCATCTCGGATACGGATACAGATATACCTCGGTAAGAAAAATTTATAACCATATCCGCTAAAATCGGATACGGTTACAGATATACATGCGGATATATAAGCGGATATGCATGCGGATACAAAACAGATATGAGAAAACTAGATAGTATTGAGAAAAACATAGTTAATGTGATACAAAAGAGTTCGTTAATATGTCTATTATAACTAAAAAGTTAAGATTAGACATCATGATCATCAAAATTAACCACAAATCCATAATCTAAGAATCGAAACTATCGTAAGAGTATGACTAATATGTATTCGGATATTTCGGATACGGATACGGTTATTTCACTACAAAACCATATCCATAACCATATCCTATCGGTTATAGATTTGAGTAACTATATTCGTATCCTAACGGATACAGTTACGGATATTTCATCGGATACGGATACGGTTTAGCACCCCTATGTATAACCATTGATTTTAATATCATAAGGGTATAATCATCTTATCACATTATAAAATTTTACGCTGGTTTCCATTCCATCCTCTACCCCAAATTGAAGGGGAGGGAAATGGAAGGAAATTTAACCTTCCATTCCATCATCTAACCCCTCAAAAAAACTCCCAAACGAGGTGAAATTGAAATTTCACTTTAATTCCATCCATTAACCTCCATCCAAACAAGGTGTTAGCGTATCAAACTTCTACTTATCAAAGTAAAAGTAAGGTGGCCTTAACGTTAAAGGGTGAAACTTTGCGGTTATTTTGAAGTTCAAATAACCGAGTGACAACAATGACCCAATCACGCTCAGGGCACGTGACAGGATCTTCTTGGTACTTAAGAGAGCGGCAAAAACCTGGATCACGATCTTAATACCGGCAAGCACCGCCGCCAAGCAAAGAGGAGCAGCGACATACCCCCCGGTCCCCACCACGATCTCCGGCCTGAAATCCCGCAGGATCC